TTAAACCCAGCACCTCGCATGTGCTACGCCAGCACTCTACCGCTGAGACACAACATCAGCCCCTGGTCTTGATAGTTTTGAGGAGCATTTTTGATTACTGTCCTTCTGGAATATTTTTATTTTGATTAAGACTGGTATTAACTAGTTTTTATTATTTGTTTTTGCAATGCTGGGGATTGAACCCAGGGCCTCATTCATGCTAGGCAAGCAATCTAACACTGAGTGACATCCCCAACCCTGTTATGAGTTTTGAAGAAGAATACCACAGAAGTAAATTACCATTTTCATCAGATGATAGCAAGGGTACATGTAATATAAGTGTGATTTATTGCTGTTGATATTGACCTCTCTTGGTCATCTGTTGAGTGTTTCTAGGAGACAGGATGAACATTGAAGTATGGTTGGCCTAAACGTTTTGAGAATGTAATTTCTTTTCTTGTCCATAGCTCAGGACATTTGGAATTTTTAAAACATCCTTGTTTTGATGGGCTGGGATGTAATTTAGTGGCAAAGAACTTTCTTTGTATATCTGAAGCCCTGGGTTCAATCCCAGTTCCAAAAAAGAAAAGAGAAAAAAAACCAAAAAAACAAAACAAAAAAACAAAAAAAAAACCTTCCTGTTTTGAAAGCTTGAATCTTCAGAAGTTAACCCTGTCCTTGAATTTCTGAACTCACTTGGCTCCTTTGTGTCTAGTTTTATTATCTACAACTATTAGATCCTATGGGGATTCCTTTGCCTCTTATCCTGGACTGTTGCTGCTTTTGTTTTTCCTTTCCATGCTTTTTAAATTGGTGAATTGTAGTTGTGTATTATAGAGTAATTTGCTGTCGCATATTTGTACATGCTATCTTTGGCTTAAATGGCAATAGTAAAGAGACCTTTTCTTAATTCTCAAATTAATTTTGTTTTGAATTGAACATTATTTTAAAAAAATCCCTATGACATTTTTGTGTTGGTGGGGACCAAATCAACGCTTTGCATATACTAAGATGGCATTCCACCACTGAACTACATCCCCAGACATATGGCTACATTTTTTAAAATATTTATTTTTTATTTGTACACAATACCTCTGTTTTATTTATTTATTTTTATGTGGTGCTGAGGATCGAACCCA